AACCCAACCTGGCCAGCATCGAAAATAACTGAACCTGGAGAGTATCGAAAAATATCCCAACCTGGACATCATCAAAAATAACCCAACCTGGACGGCATCGAAAAATAACCCAAACTGGACAGCATCAAAAAATAACCAAACCTGGACGGCATCGAAAAATATCCCAACCTGGACGGCATAAAAAATAACCCAACCTGGACAGCATCGAAAATAACCCAACCTGGACAGCATCGAAAAATAACTCAACCTGGACAGTATAAAAAATATCCCAACCTGGACAGTATCGAAAATAACCCAAACTGGACAGCATCAAAAAATCACCCAACCTGGACAGCATCGAAAATAACCCAAACTGGACAGCATCAAAAAATAACCCAACCTGGACAGCATCAAAAAATAACCCAACCTGGACGGCATCGAAAAATAACACGACCTGGACATCATCATAAATAACCCAACCTGGACAGTATCGAAAAATAACCCAACCTGGACAGCATCGAAAATAACCCAAACTGGACAGCATCAAAAAATAACCCAACCTGGACAGCATCAAAAAATAACCCAACCTGGACGGCATCGAAAAATAACACGACCTGGACATCATCATAAATAACCCAACCTGGACAGTATCGAAAAATAACCCAACCTGGACAGCATCGAAAATAACCCAAACTGGACAGCATCGAAAAATATCCCAACCTGGACAGCATTAAAAATTAACCCAACCTGGACAGTATCGAAAAATTACCCAACCTGGACAGCATCGAAAATAACCCAAACTGGACAGTATCGAAAAATAACCCAACCTGGGCAGCATCGAAAAATATCCCAACCTGGACAGCATTAAAAAATAACCCAACCTGGACAGTATCGAAAAATAACCCAACCTGGACAGCATCGAAAATAACCCAAACTGGACAGTATCGAAAAATAACCCAACCTGGGCAGCATCGAAAAATAACCCAACCTGGACAGTATCTAAAATAACCCAACCTCGACAGTATCGAAAATAACCCAAACTGGACAGCATCAAAAAATAACCCAACCTGGACAGCATCGAAAAATAACCCAACCTAGACAGCATAAAAAAATAACCCAACCTGGACAGTATCGAAAAATAACCCAAACTGGACAGCATCGAAAATAACCCAAACTGGACAGCATCAAAAAATAACCCAACCTGGACAGTATCGAAAAATAACCCAACCTGGACAGCATCGAAAATATCCCAAACTGCACAGCATCAAAAAATAACCCAACCTGGACAGTATAAAAAATAACCCAACCTGGACAGTATCGAAAAATATCTCAACCTGGACAGCATCGAAAAATAACCCAACCTGGACAGTATCTAAAATAACCCAACCTGGACAGTATCGAAAATAACCCAACCTGGACATTATAAAAAATAACCCAACCTAGACAGCATCGAAAAATAACCCAACCTAGACAGCATAAAAAAATAACCCAACCTGGACAGTATCGAAAAATAACCCAACCTGGACAGTATCGAAAAATAACCCAACCTGGACAGCATAAAAAATAACCCAACCTGGACAGCATAAAAAAATAACCCAACCTGGACAGTATTAAAAATAACCCAACCTGGACAGTATCGAAAAATAACCCAACCTGGACAGCATCGAAAATATCCCAAACTGCACAGCATCAAAAAATAACCCAACCTGGACAGTATAAAAAATAACCCAACCTGGACAGTATCGAAAAATAACTCAACCTGGACAGCATCGAAAATAACCCAAACTGGACAGTATCGAAAAATAACCCAAGCTGGGTCTTATTCTCCTTGTCCTTGTTAGGGATCTCTGTAAACTTTTCATTTGTTATTATTTTGCCAAAGTTTTATAGAATTTGAGTTTGGATTATGATTATGTCGACATATTGGTATTTTTATTTTTGTTTTCTCTCGCGTATTACACACACACTTAAAACATATTTCAGAAATATGTTGATGTTTATTATGTTTTGTAATATGATGAGATATTCTCCAAAAACACATCATACGTCATACTTGCTAATTAAACACGAGAGAAAATATAAAACATATTGAACAGCTAACAGTTTTTATTTAATCCATGTCATTTATGTGTGATGAACTCAAGTGATACCACTGTAAAATTAGGATAGATGTACAACTACATGGTATTTAGATGTAACTAACAAAGCTGGTTATATTTGTATCCCCCATCATAGAAGTATCCGGATACTTTTTCTGGCTATCGTAAAAGTGTTCCCCCAATATTTCATATAATTGTCCCCTAGATACTATTCTGATAGCCATCATAAAGGTATCCCCCCTAAATATATCAGATAATTACTATTATCCCTATTCACTGTTTTACTATACTATACCCTATACCTTCTTTCATCATTGCTATTAAGAAATGTATGTATAATTCTAAATACACTTTCTCCTAGAATCACAGGATAATATGGTTGTTCTATATATCAATCCTCTGAAGAGCTGCCAAACAGCAAGATCCATTCATATTCTAGATCAGTCTTCTGACATTCCCAACTCCATTCCCTGCTCTTCCTGGCATATCTGTTCAGTGTATATCGTTGTAACAAATAAATTTTACAATAATATATTATTATATATATATTATTCCCTTACAGGTAAGTAAATAACTTACACTACAGGTAAACAATCTGTTATAGCCTGCTACGAATGGCAAAACAAAGACAATTACGTAAGCCCTGCTCTACCTGGGTACTGCCTACAGGTGTTCTGTAACACCTGGTATCCGTGGATCACTGACTGACCTACAGCCGGAGTATAAACAACAAATTTGTAAAACAGATAAAGTTATAGTATTGATCTCAAGGGGAGATACAAATACTATTGTTGATACTTTTCTAATGGGCAAACAAGTATCCCCGGATAATCATATGATCGGGGATACAAATATGGCATGACGCTGGGTGAGTATCAATAATTGAGAGACTGTTATCAGTAAGCTGTAAGCTTAGTCCTTTTAAAACCTACGCATTTTTGTCTGGTGTGATAGCGATATGCAATCTTATGTCATTCATGAATAATTAACAGGAATTATTTGGTAAAATTTATCAGGCAGAATTTATCACCAATTAGGTATGAGTTTCCAACTGCGTAAAATGCCTGAATATTACAGGTTGCACCATACCACTGTTACAGTGTGTGAATAATAAAGATATTTAATAGCTGTAATTGCATCATTATAAAGTGATGTTCTGTTTGCTGATGAGGGATTGGTGACAACATTGCTGACTATTAGGAATCATCAACATATTACTACCAACTTCACCAATATATAAAACTTCCACACTTACAAATAGAGCTGATACATTATAATAATGTAGCTTTCAATCGAAGATTTGACAATTCATTTATTTAGAAAACACAAGTTTATACTGATTGGGCCTGATCAAATGTTTATGTCTATGGGGCCTGATCAAATGTTTATGTCTATGGGGCCTGATCAAATGTTTATGTCTATGAGGCCTGATCAAATGTTTATGTCTATGAGGCCTGATCAAATGTTTATGTCTATGGGCCTGATCAAATGTTTATGTCTATGGGCCTGATCAAATGTTTATGTCTATGAGGCCTGATCAAATGTTTATGTCTATGGGGCCTGATCAAATGTTTATGTCTATGAGGCCTGATCAAATGTTTATGTCTATGGGCCTGATCAAATGTTTATGTCTATGGGCCTGATCAAATGTTTATGTCTATGGGCCTGATCAAATGTTTATGTCTATGAGGCCTGATCAAATGTTTATGTCTATGAGGCCTGATCAAATGTTTATGTCTATGAGGCCTGATCAAATGTTTATGCCTATGAGGCCTGATCAAATGTTTATGCCTATGAGGCCTGATCAAATGTTTATGTCTATGAGGCCTGATCAAATGTTTATGTCTATGAGGCCTGATCAAATGTTTATGCCTATGAGGCCTGATCAAATGTTTATGTCTATGAGGCCTGATCAAATGTTTATGTCTATGAGGCCTGATCAAATGTTTATGTCTATGGGCCTGATCAAATGTTTATGTCTATGGGCCTGATCAAATGTTTATGTCTATGAGGCCTGATCAAATGTTTATGTCTATGGGGCCTGATCAAATGTTTATGTCTATGAGGCCTGATCAAATGTTTATGTCTATGGGCCTGATCAAATGTTTATGTCTATGGGCCTGATCAAATGTTTATGTCTATGGGCCTGATCAAATGTTTATGTCTATGAGGCCTGATCAAATGTTTATGTCTATGAGGCCTGATCAAATGTTTATGTCTATGAGGCCTGATCAAATGTTTATGCCTATGAGGCCTGATCAAATGTTTATGCCTATGAGGCCTGATCAAATGTTTATGTCTATGAGGCCTGATCAAATGTTTATGTCTATGAGGCCTGATCAAATGTTTATGCCTATGAGGCCTGATCAAATGTTTATGCCTATGAGGCCTGATCAAATGTTTATGTCTATGAGGCCTGATCAAATGTTTATGTCTATGAGGCCTGATCAAATGTTTATGTCTATGAGGCCTGATCAAATGTTTATGTCTATGGGGCCTGATCAAATGTTTATGTCTATGGGGCCTGATCAAATGTTTATGTCTATGAGGCCTGATCAAATGTTTATGCCTATGAGGCCTGATCAAATGTTTATGTCTATGGGGCCTGATCAAATGTTTATGCCTATGGGGCCTGATCAAATGTTTATGTCTATGAGGCCTGATCAAATGTTTATGCCTATAAGGCCTGATCAAATGTTTATGTCTATGAGGCCTGATCAAAAGTTTATGCCTATGGGGCCTGATCAAATGTTTATGTCTATGGGGCCTGATCAAATGTTTATGCCTATGGGGCCTGATCAAATGTTTATGTCTATGAGGCCTGATCAAATGTTTATGCCTATGGGGCCTGATCAAATGTTTATGTCTATGAGGCCTGATCAAATGTTTATGTCTATGGGGCCTGTTCAAATGTTTATGCCTATGGGGCCTGAACAAATGTTTATGTCTATGGGGCCTGTTCAAATGTTTATGCCTATGGGGCCTGATCAAATGTTTATGTCTATGGGGCCTGTTCAAATGTTTATGCCTATGGGGCCTGATCAAATGTTTATGCCTATGAGGCCTAATCAGATGTTTATGTCTATGAGGCCTGATCAAATGTTTATGTCTATGGGGCCTGATCAAATGTTTATGCCTATGGGGCCTGTTCAAATGTTTATGCCTATGGGGCCTGATCAAATGTTTATGCCTATGGGGCCTGAACAAATGTTTATGCCTATGGGGCCTGATCAAATGTTTATGTCTATGAGGCCTTATCAAATGTTTATGCCTATGAGGCCTTATCAAATGTTTATGCCTATGAGGCCTGATCAAATGTTTATGCCTATGGAGCCTGATGATGGGTTTATGCCTATGAGGCCTAATCAAATGTTTATGCCTATGGGGCCTGATCAAATGTTTATGCCTATGAGGCCTGATCAAATGTTTATGCCTATGGAGCCTGATGATGGGTTTATGCCTATGAGGCCTAATCAAATGTTTATGTCTATGAGGCCTGATCAAATGTTTATGTCTATGGGGCCTGATCAAATGTTTATGTCTATGGGGCCTGATCATGTGTTTATACCTACAGGTCCTAATGTTTATGCCCATGTACTCTTGTCAGGTTTTTTCTTGAAACATTACCAGGGTTACTTTAATAATTTTGTATGTATAATGAAAATTTTTTTCATCAAAAGACGTCTGTAGACGTGATGACTCGGTATTTTAATGTTATACATATATCTTCAAAACTTTTCTGTAAACTGGATTAAATATAAATTATAAGATACACTGAATAACAAATATCCTATAATAGATACCTAAACTTCTGCTCTGAAGATAACATAGTAAGTACTGGAATACATACGATGTATATATATATATGTACATGGCATTTCTGTGAAACCATTAAGGATGTCTGTGGATTATGTAACGCCTCCTCGCCTGCAGGGGTTTACACAGTTAATTTGTTTAAACAAGACACAAATGAATAGTTCCTTTCAATGTAAAATAGCATACAACAAAGTAAAAAATCAACATAACTGCATCGTACAACATTTTCCCTTTGCCGATGGAGGTATGGGCCTAAGGAGCTACAGAACAGGAGACTATTGTATTTTTTTTCCGCGTGAAGATTGTATACATATAATAAACATGTTTAATATATAATTAAATTATTTAAATGTAGATAGTCATTTTACAGGTGAAAAGACATTGAGGTATTAATCATAATAAAGCGTGACAATTCAAAATTGTGGATGTAAATGTAACGAAATAAAGGGCGGTCAGAGACGGGTAATGCTTCCCGATTTGAACAAAATTTAAGTATGAAAAATAACAGTCATAAGAGAGGAACGATTCTTGTGCACTGCTCTCCTACTCGGACGGACGAACAGACAGGCGGACGAAACGACGATATGGTCTCCCTATGGAGAACATCAAGAAAAAAAAGATGGTGTGGTGTTGTAACACCTCAAATCAAGTTAAATATATTCCATTTATCTTATTATTCTCTATTCCTTTATGATGCATTTTAAAGGCAAACTAAATATAAACTTTATTTATTTTACAACAATTGCGAAACAAGTTATGTTAACTTATACTAATCACTCTTGTTGGCCCGGATGTAAGCGCGCGAGGGGTCTTATTGTGGGAGGATACCGGAGTACCCGGGGAAAAACCCAAGGCAAACTAGGGATATTTAAATTAAATATAGGAATATTATTACATGTAAACTTACCGGTGAATTTGCATTCTGGTGTGAAAAAAATCTTATCAAATCCCAGGAATTCACCTTTTGAAAGTTCAGTGGACACGGTAATGTAAAACAGCGTGAAGTTTCTGAAAAACACAATGGTGCAGTGATCCATTAAACTGTGAAGATCGATTGTTGTGACTTTAAGAGTAACGTATGGATAATATCTGACCAAAGAAAGTTATTTCAACATTACAGGCAGTACTTAGATACGTGTATTTGTTGTAATATTGGTTTCTCTCCTTCAGGTAAAACTGGTTTCAAAGACTTTCAGATAAAAAGTGTAGAAGTTTAAAAAAGATATTACAGAGATAGACTTGAATAATTAAATGAGATTTCGGAGAAAATAATAAATATGTAAATATATCTGATAAGATATCTCCGTGAATTCATTATGTTTCCAATTTTTCATGAGTCTTCCTGACCTCATATGTTTACCACTTTATATAGATTTTGAATTTCTAACAATTAATTTTGTACCATCTTGTTGTTGTTTTTCATTTTATCCATTTTTAGTCAATATGACAGCCAATAAAATGGAATTTCAACATGTAATGATGTTAAACCAGGAGCAACAAATATGAACGATATCTTCGATGTATGTGATATTACATTAACATATCTCCAACATAAACAGGAACTAACATATCTCGAACTGATGATTACTCAACATAAACTCGGGACTAACATATCTCGAACTGACAATTATTCAACATAAACAGGAACTAACATATCTCCAACTGACAATTATTCAACATAAACCGGAACTAACATATCTCGAACTGACAATTATTCAACATAAACTCGGGACTAACATATCTCGAACTGACAATTATTCAACATAAACAGGAACTAACATATCTCCAACTGACAATTATTCAACATAAACCGGAACTAACATATCTCGAACTGACAATTATTCAACATAAACTCGGGACTAACATATCTCGAACTGACAATTATTCAACATAAACAGGAACTAACATATCTCCAACTGACAATTATTCAACATAAACAGGGACTAACATATCTCGAACTGATGATTATTCAACATAAACTCGGGACTAACATATCTCGAACTGACAATTATTCAACATAAACAGGAACTAACATATCTCCAAATGACAATTATTCAACATAAACCGGAACTAACATATCTCGAACTGACAATTATTCAACATAAACTCGGGACTAACATATCTCGAACTGACAATTATTCAACATAAACTCGGGACTAACATATCTCGAATTGATGATTACTCAACATAAACAGGAACTAACATATCTCGAACTGACAATTATTCAACATAAACAGGAACTAACATATCTCGAACTGACAATTATTCAACATAAACTCGGGACTAACATATCTCGAATTGATGATTACTCAACATAAACAGGAACTAACATATCTCGAACTGACAATTATTCAACATAAACAGGAACTAACATATCTCGAACTGACAATTATTCAACATAAACTCGGGACTAACATATCTCGAATTGATGATTACTCAACATAAACAGGAACTAACATATCTCGAACTGACAATTATTCAACATAAACAGGAACTAACATATCTCGAACTGACAATTATTCAACATAAACTCGGGACTAACATATCTCGAACTGACAATTATTCAACATAAACTCGGGACTAACATATCTCGAACTGACAATTATTCAACATAAACTCGGGACTAACATATCTCGAATTGATGATTACTCAACATAAACAGGGACTAACATATCTCGAACTGATGATTACTCAACATAAACTCGGGACTAACATATCTCGAATTAATGATTACTCAACATAAACAGGAACTAACATATCTCGAACTGATGCTAACTCAACATAAACTCGGGACTAACATATCTCGAATTGATGATTACTCAACATAAACAGGGACTAACATATCTCGAACTGATGATTACTCAACATAAACTCGGGACTAACATATCTCGAACTGACAATTATTCAACATAAACAGGAACTAAATTTCTCGAACTGTTAGTAACTCAATATGAATTATACACGGACCGTTTAGAAAAATCCGGAAGTCGTACTCTGTATCGGCGCCACCCATTTTTTGTAAGGCTTGTATCATTCCGGTAGATAGTTGCCTTTGTCAGAGCTTCCGTTACGAGAACTCTCAGATTGAAAGGTCCTTCTTCCCTTTCAGTAACTTCACTGAGGTAAGCATACAACTGCAACTAAGGGAGACATGTCATTTATCTTCACTAATAGACATATTGTTGCAGTGCAACTTAAGTGGTTAATGAGTCTTGAATAAAACATATTTGGCCGGTAATCAATTATTCTTTTAACACTTTTGTAACGTTATGACATTAAAATAATTAAACCATCCAAGATTAACAACTAACAGACATTAGACTGGGGATCTCGTGGTTCACTCATGACATCCACCATGTAGATTGTAGTCTATCAAAGTCATGTCACGTTCCACAAAATGAGATTAACAACAATCATTAGAATGGCGATCTTGAACAATTAACAATAAAGAAATTGAAAGTATATTTTCTATAAAAAACAAACTAATTATTTGGTAACATTAGAAGAATAACTTTACCTCACATGATTTATTATCCACCGAATATCCCTGGTAATTTGTAAGTATGACCGACGTCAATTGTACTTGTCTGAGCGACTCATGTTCTTCATAGGCCAATATATGACCTGTGGACGTAAACATTTTTTCATTTTTTTTTTTTAAATTTCAGTTTTTATTTTTTTTTTTCAATTTGACCTGCCCATAAATCGATCTGGCAAGAGTTTTGAATTTTTGATGAAACATGGTCAGATATTAATTTGTTTTTAGTGTAAAGCAGTCTTTACCAATAACAGTAATCAGCGAATAAAGGATTCCATTATATCAATAGGATGTCACCAAACAGTATTACACCGTTTGCTTATCTCACCCACCATTTAACGATCCATTTGAATCTGTTAATGCCGGAGTCATTTTAGCCACACGTGGTTTTAAGAAACTGTAACTAGAATCACTATCGAGGAAAGAACAGTCTTCCAAATCTGTTGACTCGAAATCGCAAAGTTCAGTGGAATATTCACTCCCTAGAACACCAAAAAAAGTAGTAAGATAAATACAGGCTGACAACAAAAAGCTCAATCAACGTGTATGATAACCCTGTGTGATACTGTATAATATATCAGCTTTGTTTTTTCTTTTTAAACGGAGATGTTATGAGATACAATATAACCACGAAATCAAAGACATTCCCTACTAGGATTAGTTAATAAATTTTATTGTAAATGTACAATTTCTTGGTTTTACGGTTTTGAACAGTTCAAAATATTGTTAAAACCATCCCGTACCACCCTTACTATCTATACCACCTATACTTTTTATACCACCCGGTACTATTTATACCACCCTGTAATATTTATACTACCCTGTACTATTTATACCACCCCGTACTATTATCACCCGTACTATTCATACCACCCCGTACTATCTATACCACCTATACTTTTTATACCACCCGGTACAATTTATACCACCCTGTACTTTTTATACTATCATGTACTATTTATACAACCCCGTACTATTTATACCACCCCGTACTATTTATACCACCTATACTTTTTATACCATCCGGTACAATTTATACCACCCTGTACTTTTTATACTACCATGTACTATTTATTCCACCCCGTACTATTATCACCC